TTATTATTATTACTATTATTATTATTATTATTACTATTATTGCTATTATTATTATTATAATTATTATTATAATTATAAATATTATTATTATTATTATTATAATTATTATAATAATTGTAATTATTATTATTATTATCATTATTGTCATTATTAGTATTATTATTCTTATTATTATTATTATTAATATTATTATTATAATTATTGTAATTATTATTATATAATAATTATTATTATTATTATTTTATTATTATAATTATTATTATTATAATTATTGGTAATATTTTTTTTTGTATAGAGAGAAGGAAATGTACCTACCGCACGCAACGGCGCATTGTCGGCTGGGCAACTCGACAATGCATCGCTACAGTGTGAGGCTCGCACTCACTAAAACCTCCTCTTTTTTTCTAGACCGTGTTCCATCTACGGTACTACCTTGCGGCTTCATCCATCATAGATGGGGTCCCTTGTGCCGCCTTTATTGTGGCTTCAGTTACAATCGATTCAATGTGTGGCTAAATGATAATCCTGTATATGTATTATGCATTTCTGAACATTGGCTTAGTGATGATCATTTGGAAATGGTAAACCTAAACCAATATTCTCTTATATCCTTTTACTGTCGCCCTCCAAGATTACATGGTGATGTTGCTATATTTGCACAAATGAATCAGCAAATTAAACCCCTGGATTTAAAGAATGTTTGTGTTCCATTCCATGCTGAATTTTGTGGGGCAACAAAAGGCAATATTGCTATTATAACTGTTTATAGATCTCCTTGTTTAGGAAATCCTTCATTATTTATTGATGCCTTCAATAGTTTACTGAATAGTATTTATTCTAGACATAAGAACTTATTGATACTTGGCGATTTTAATTCAGATTTCAGCAGTAATGTTGAAACAGTGACACACCTATGTAATATTTCAAATTCATTTGGCTTACGTCAATGTATTTATGAAAATACCAGAGTTACACCTACTTCGGCGTCTTGTTTGGATAATATATTGACTAACTTGAACAATGATAATACTGAGACAGGGACTATAGATTTGAACATTCCGACCACTTAGGAATTTTTTGTGATTTTTTTATATTACAAGATGAGATTCATTCAATCAAACCGCCCAAAAGACGCATTATTACAAAAAAAAGAATGGTTTCATTTGCCAACAGAATCCATAGTATGGCGTCCGACATGAATGTAGATTCTAACTCTGCAGATAACATGGCAAATAGTATCTACCGTTTAATATCAAACTGTATCGATAATTGTTTTCCGTTAAAAGCTGTGGATAAGTCAGCTCACAAGTTAAGTGGTATACGCAGACACTGAAGCAGCTAAGGAAAGATATGGTGAACGCAAAGAGCCAGTTTTCGCATAGCGGGGATGAGCGTGATTGGGAGAGGTATAAGGATATACGTAGAATATACCGTCAAAAATTGAAATTGGAAAAAAGGAACTTTTACTCTGAAATGATACACCAGGCGGAAAATAAAACTAAAGCAATCTGGAAGATAGTCGATAGCGAGAGAGGCATCAGGAAACAGAAACACACAAACGTCTCAAGTGATGAATTCAATAGTTTTTTCAGTACTATTTCTTGTAAAATTCTTGAGGGCATTGAAAAGCCCACTATTAATTACTTGTATCTCCTCAACCGTACTCCCAAGACACCGCATTCGTTCTTCATGTCTGCGATACTCCAAACAGATGTGAGATGTGCTATAGCACAACTAAAAAACTCACCCTCACTCGACTTCTATGGTATGAACAGTGCTATGTTGAAAATAGCCAGTGAGGATTTCATTGAACCTTTAACAATACTATTTAATAAGTGTGTTAATGAAGGCGTGTGGCCTGATGCTTTTAAATTGTCAAAGGTCATTCCCATTCATAAGAAAGGGAATGAAGATAATCTTCATAACTATAGGCCCATCACAATAACTCATTAATAAGTAAATTATTCGAAATTGTAATCAAAGAAAAATTAATAAAGTACTTTGAAAAGCACTCCCTCCTTTCAGCTTCCCAATTTGGCTTTCGCAAGCACTGTTCAACCATTAAAGCCATGCTTAGTTTTCTTGAGGATGCATTAGAGTGCATTGACAAGAGAACCACCGCTCTAGCAACTATGTGTGACTTAACCAAGGCTACTGACTGTGTAGACGCAGTTATACTGCTTGACAAATTGGAGTACTATGGGATCCGTTCCAAGTCATCACAGCTTATGAGATCATACTTAGTTAATAGGAGACAGATGGTTAGCCTTGATGGAGTAGAATCCCAGCTTCTACCGATTACGAACGGGGTACCCCAGGGCTCTGTCTTGGGCCCTCTATTATTTTTAATCTACATCAATGACCTCCCACAAAATATCAACAATAGCAAATGCTACCTTTTTGCAGACGACACTACTCTGCTCTCCAAGGCTACCCAACTTGACGAGGCCCACAGTCTCGACCAGGTTAAGCGGTGGTTCTCCGCAAACAAGCTCAAACTTAATGAAGCTAAAACCAGTAAGCTAAGAATAACTTCCGACAAATGGAATGAGACTTCATCATGCGTAAAGTTATTACGGATCGTTGTGGATAGCCGCTTGACCTGTTCGGAGCATGTGGACCAGGTGTGTACCAAGATTTCCAGACAGATGTTTATCATGAGGCAACTGGCTCAGTGTTTGCACAGACAAACCATGAGAACTGTTTACTTTAGCCTCATTCATAGTCATCTGTCGTATGGTATCATCCTCTGGAGTAAATTTTATCAAGGCCCAAAAAGCATTTACAATGCAAAAGGCTGCTATACGGATTGTAGCTGGCGTCTCCTACGATCATACGTGCCGCGGTTTGTTCAAAGAGATGCGCATACTGCCGTTAGCATGCCTGCTAATACATGAGACCCTTTTACATGTTCACGCAAACCTGAGTACTTTTTCGATAAGATCAGAGACACACAGCTACAATACAAGATACGCTAATGATAATTCATTACCGCAATCTAGGATCGCCATGACACAACACAATAAGATTAATGTGTCGCTTTACAATAACTTTGTTAGATATCATAAGCGGTCCAATATTGAGAAGATATCTAACAAACAGTTCTCTAGGTTTGTCAAAAACTATTTGTTAAAAAACTGTTTCTATACTGTAAGTGAATATTTAAGTGCATGTGATCCTAGTGATCAGTGATCGTGTGTAGAGCAAGAAGACAGACTGTATAAACTTTATCTAGTTTGTGACCTCAAACATGTATCTATATGTATAGGTGGTCAATAAATGGTATGGTATGGTATGGTATGGTATTATTATTATTATTATTATTATTATTATTATTATTATTATTATTATTATTATGATTATTGTAATTATTATTATTATAATTATTATTATTATTATTATTATTGTGATTATTATTATTAATATGATTATTATTATTATTATAATTATTGTAATTATTACTATTATAGTTATTATTTTATACTATTTTACTCCTCTGTCGAAGGTATTAATATTTCCCTCAGGCGGTTAGCCAAAGTAAGGAAATAGATCTGCAGCGGTCTTTTCACCGTATCCGGTTCTCATCTCCTAAAACCCTACGTACTGTCCTACATGTTCCCAGCAGTGCAGCTTTTTGCAGTTGCAAGTATATTTTTGGATGGAGCTGTAGCTTTTCCAGTCTCTTGTGTAGTCTCCTTGGTATCTCTCCAGTAGCTCCTATTATAACTGGTATTATAGACACATTGCCCATTTCCCACATGCGTTTGATTTCGTCGGAGAGTGGCAAATACTTATTGATTTTTTCCGCATGGGTGGTTTGGATATTAGTAGGAAGAGGCACAGCTATGTCTATTATAAACGTCGTTCTTTCTTCTTTTAGTGTGAGCACTATGTCAGGAATATTGTTGGGGATGGGCCTGTCAGTTATGATTTTACGGTTCCAGTACAGCCTAGAGGTCTCCGTTTCTATCACAGGTGGCGGCGTGTATTTATAGTAGGGCTGTGTACCAGTTTCTCCTAGATGCTTTTTAGCCAAAGCTTGATAAAGTATTTTGGCCACATCATTGTGCCTTTCAAGATATTGTTTAGGAGCTAAGGGAGAGC